AACGAAAATTAAAATACACAAACTACCCCAAAAACGGGGACCTATAATGACCTGCGAGAGGCTGGACCAAGTAACAAAGCTACTCAGTAACCCTACCCGCCGGGGACTAATCCTGCAGTGCCATACGTGTCCGCTGCTTAAGCCAGTACATGTCCAGGCCCGTCTGAAGTTTGCTAGAGTTCATTTGGGATGATCCAGAAGAGGATTGGGAGAATGTCATATGGTCAGATGAAACCAAAATAGAACTTTTAGGTAAATACTCAACTCGTCGTGTTTTGGAGGACAAAGAATGCTGAGTTGCATCCAACAGAACACCATACCTACTGTGAAGCATGGGGGTGGAAACATCATGCTTTGGGGCTGTTTTTTCTGCAAAGGGACCAGGATGACTGCTCCGTGTAAAGGAAAGAATGAATGGGGCCATGTATCGTTAGATTGTTTGAGTGAAAACCTCCTTCCATCAGCAAGGGCATTGAAGATGAAACGTGGCTGGGTCTTTCAGCATGACATGATCCCAAACAACCGCCCGGGCAACCGAAGGAGTGGCTTCGTAAGAAGCATTTCAAGGTCCTGGAGTGGCCTAGCCAGTCTCCAGATCTCAACCCCATAGAAATCTTTGGAGGGAGTTGAAAGTCCGTGTTGCCCCCAGCGACACAGACTTTCAACATCACTGCTCTAGAGGAGATCTGCATGGAGGAATGGGCCAAAAATACCAGCAACAGTGTGCTTGAAACCTTGTGAAGACTTACAGAAAACGTTGACCTGTGTCATTGCCAAACAAAGGGTATATAACAAAGTATTGAGAAACTTTTGTTATTGATCAAATACTTATTTTTCCACCATAATTTGCAAATAAATTCATTAAAAATCCTACAATGTGATTTTCTGGATTTTTTTCCGCATTTTGTCTGTCATAGTTGACATGTACCTATGATGAAAATTACAGGCCTCTCTCATCTTTTTAAGTGGGAGACTTGCACAATTGGTGGCTGACTAAATACTTTTTCCCCCCACTGTATACCACGGCTGTCAGCCAATTAGCATTCAGGGCTCGAACCACCCAGTTTATAATAATAGTTAGTGTGTGGAAAAGCGTAGTGCCTAAGGAAGTACCAAAACACCTTGATATTGGGGAGGTGCATGCAAGCAGATGAGAAAATTGGGTAAGGATAGAATGAATTCTATAGTAAAGCCTGCAAAAGGGAGATTGTAAACCAGGGGAAAGCGCACTACCCTCCCCTGTGCCCATTAAAAAAACCACTACCCCCCCCCCCCCCCCCCAGTAAATGTCCTACTGTCCCTAAGAAAATACGGGCAGATGAACACTTGCTCGATTCAACTTATTATGGGCTTTATTGATACAGTACCATACCTCTTTATTCTGAAAACTAAGACATGTTTTTAAAGTACTCTTTCTCACACTTCCTCACTGCTGGAGGCTGGTGGAGTTACGGAATTACTTTAGTCTTATTTTTTGGTCAAAGGAAAACAAGATGTTTTGAAAATGTCATAATACAGTGGTTCTCCTACCATACAGTATGTTTGAGTATATGCACTGTATGATAACAGTGGGTCAGACACATTCATTGAACTGTTAAACAGTCTTAAATCCTGAGCTTGAATAGAAAACACACGCTCAAGAAAGAGTAAGATGGGTCCACAGTTCACACAACAGGTTTCAACTGAAATGTCCTTGGATGGGTCCATTGGCTTTGTATGAAGTAGATGGGTTATGGTAAGTAGTAAGTAAGTACAGCTAGTTAGAGTCAATAGCCCTATAGTGCATTAGTAAAAGAGGGAGCCGTTTCACTCCGTAGAGTGCTCCAGCATTGCGATCTTCTGTTCTGCACCAGTTTTGACTAGAGCAGCCCTTTATTCAACCAGTCATCTGAGCAGAGTTGGGGTCAATTCCATGTTAATTCAGGATATATTATTCCAATCAATATCTACTATTCTCAATGCTTTTCAATTAGCAGAAATTGTAATCAGAATTTCTGTTTACTTCCTGAATTGACTGAAGTGAAATGGAATTGACACCCAGCCTGCAGCTGATGGAAGATCAGTCTATCATTACAGGGTAGCTGTATATGAATAGGGAACCTCCTCAATGTCCTCTTGAGGACCCTCCTTTTTCCATTCAGGGCCACGTTTTTTTCAGTTCATAGGTAGTGTCAAGTCCTCAGGATGGGCAGTGACGCCTGCACTTGAAGTGGTTAGGTTGGGATCCTGACACTGGGGAAGATGTGGGTAATCTTATATGGGTGGCAATAGTGTGTGTGTTTAATGTAGATATTGTGTGTATAAATTTAGAGGAAGAGTGGGGCTGTTGTAAAGGAGTAGACCTTTGGTTCTATTATTTTGTGTTACATAATTGTATGTATGTCCTTATGAGCTGTTTGCATGATGTATCTATGTAGACATTTACTGTAGTCTCTATTAGTGTGTTAGACAGCTCCTATCCTGTGATGGGGCACTTGTAGAGTCTGTAGGTTGGGGCAGGTGAAGTATGGGGCAGGGAGGAAACACGTTGCTATTCCATTGGAGGCGAATGGTAGAGTTGGTCCATAGAACACTTCCTCCTTCCCCTCCGTGCTCACGTCCAACACCTGGACCACAGGAAGGGAAATATAAATGTCATACACATGAAATAATAAGAGATTTTAATAAGAGAACATTTGCTATGAACACCCTCTTTCTTTATAATGCATTATAAGTGCATTCAAAACACCTTATTAACTATGCATAATGATTTATAATGCACAACATTAAACAATTTTTAATAAATCTGTCACTCACCTGAATACACGCTAGGGGCTCATTGGTCCAAATAGAATATCCACCAACAACATATATTCGGTCATCATGGACTGCCACGCCAGACTCGTTCTGACCTGCGGAGGAGATAGCGAAAACAATGATTCACTGTGCCAAAGAGAGGCCATATGATTCAATGTCACCTGAGACATAGGGTGCATTCAGAAAGTTCCGGAAATAACTCTGTCTCCTCTCATGACTTCACCTTGAACTTATTTGACAACTTCACAGGGAATCAAGGTCGGGAGGGGTGGATAGTCACAAGGGAAAAAGGAGGACAGTGATCTTATCTAGTATGTGTGCATGCGTACGTGTGTGTGCACGTGCATGCGTATGCATGAGCGTGTGTATGTGCAGCCCACCCACCCGTGAGTAGGCTGAAGGTGCAGCGGGTCCACTGGTCCATGTCTATGTCATAGGAGTCTATGTGGCGGACCAGGATGCGGTCGTTGTTGTAGTCAAGGTCATTACCTCCCAGCACATACAGCTGCCTTCTCACCACGGCCATGACGTGGTACACTCGCCTCTGCAGCATGGGACTGCGGGCCAGCCACTGGTTCTGTCAGAGAGAGAAAGGGGGAGAGATGAGGAAAGAGAGAGAGGGGTGAGTGGAGAGGGGGGGAATGGAGGAGAGAGGGGTGGGGGGAGAGAGTGAGAGAAAGAGAAGGTGGGGAGCAAAAAGGATGGTGAGAAGATGTTGAATAGATGGATTAATATTTTAGCATATCCCTGCTTGGGTAATTGATGTATGTTCAGTGCTGGATAAATAATGTGTCACCAGGGCTATGACTTTTCCTAGTGATTTCTCCCCATTCCTAATAATATACTTCACCCTCTCCATTTTACATGGAGTATCCGACTGTGCACATTTGACTAAGTGTGTCTATGGTTGTTTTGTATGTGTGTGTGGGGGAAAGGGGGGTGAGTGTACGTGACCATGTTTGTGTGCGTATGTGAGCTAGCGTGTGTGTGTGCGATTGTGTATGTGTGTGTGTGTTCGCGTGTGTGTGTGCGTATGTCTGGTGGGAGTTGACGGTTGGCCATCTGTTGAGGGTAGTGTGGGTGGGGGGTGGTGTTCCTGGCAGGTGAATGTAGCTCCACGGTGAATACAAATGAGACTTTCTCTGTCTCCTGCTCGCTCACTCTCTTTCTCTCTTGCTCTCTTTCTCTCTCTATTGCTCTCCCCCTTGCGCGCGGGCTCTCTGTCTCACACGCACACAAACACACACCCTCCTATTGCAGTAAACAAGCGTATTACCCAGCTATCACATAAACAGATTGTTCTGAATCCATGGTTCTTAAATGTTTGGATGACATTTGTCTTACTGTCTTTTCTCTTATTTCTCTGTACTACCTGTTCTTCAGTTACCTGTTCTGGGTCGTACACCATCAGTCTATTCTGGTACTGAGCTGTGTTTGTGACTCCACCTGTAACAGAGAAGAGTATTACACACAGGTGGCGTGCATGTGTGTGTGTGTATACAGTGGGGAAAAAAAGTATTTAGTCAGCCACCAATTGTGCAAGTTCTCCCACTTAAAAAGATGAGAGAGGCCTGTAATTTTCATCATAGGTACACGTCAACTATGACAGACAAAATGAGAAAAAAAATTCCAGAAAATCACATTGTAGGATTTTTTATGAATTTATTTGCAAATTATGGTGGAAAATAAGTATTTGGTCAATAACAAAAGTTTCTCAATACTTTGTTATATACACTTTGTTGGCAATGACACAGGTCAAACGTTTTCTGTAAGTCTTCACAAGGTTTTCACACACTGTTGCTGGTATTTTGGCCCATTCCTCCATGCAGATCTCCTCTAGAGCAGTGATGTTTTGGGGCTGTCGCTGGGCAACACGGACTTTCAACTCCCTCCAAAGATTTTCTATGGGGTTGAGATCTGGAGACTGGCTAGGCCACTCCAGGACCTTGAAATGCTTCTTACGAAGCCACTCCTTCGTTGCCCGGGCGGTGTGTTTGGGATCATTGTCATGCTGAAAGACCCAGCCACGTTTCATCATCAATGCCCTTGCTGATGGAAGGAGGTTTTCACTCAAAATCTCACGATACATGGCCCCATTCATTCTTTCCTTTACACGGATCAGTCGTCCTGGTCCCTTTGCAGAAAAACAGCCCCAAAGCATGATGTTTCCACCCCCATGCTTCACAGTAGGTATGGTGTTCTTTGGATGCAACTCAGCATTCTTTGTCCTCCAAACACGACGAGTTGAGTATTTACCTAAAAGTTCTATTTTGGTTTCATCTGACCATATGACATTCTCCCAATCCTCTTCTGGATCATCCAAATGCACTCTAGCAAACTTCAGACGGGCCTGGACATGTACTGGCTTAAGCAGGGGGACACGTCTGGCACTGCAGGATTTGAGTCCCTGGCGGCGTAGTGTGTTACTGATGGTAGGCTTTGTTACTTTGGTCCCAGCTCTCTGCAGGTCATTCACTAGGTCCCCCCGTGTGGTTCTGGGATTTTTGCTCACCGTTCTTGTGATCATTTTGACCCCACGGGGTGAGATCTTGCGTGGAGCCCCAGATCGAGGGAGATTATCAGTGGTCTTGTATGTCTTCCATTTCCTAATAATTGCTCCCACAGTTGATTTCTTCAAACCAAGCTGCTTACCTATTGCAGATTCAGTCTTCCCAGCCTGGTGCAGGTCTACAATTTTGTTTCTGGTGTCCTTTGACAGCTCTTTGGTCTTGGCCATAGTGGAGTTTGGAGTGTGACTGTTTGAGGTTGTGGACAGGTGTCTTTTATACTGATAACAAGTTCAAACAGGTGCCATTAATACAGGTAACGAGTGGAGGACAGAGGAGCCTCTTAAAGAAGAAGTTACAGGTCTGTGAGAGCCAGAAATCTTGCTTGTTTGTAGGTGACCAAATACTTATTTTCCACCATAATTTGCAAATAAATTCATTAAAAATTCTACAATGTGATTTTCTGGATTTTTTTTCTCAATTTGTCTGTCATAGTTGACGTGCACATATGATGAAATTTACAGGCCTCTCTCATCTTTTTAAGTGGGAGAACTTGCACAACTGGTGGCTGACTAAATACTTTTTTCCCCCCACTGTATGTACAGTATGTGTGTGTGTTCAGTCTGTTATGCACTATTCTCCATCTGGGTGTGTGTGTACCTGAGACCCAGAGCAGGTCGTCAGCCACACAGCCGGCGTGGCAGGACAGCGAGCGGTCAAAGGACTGGACGAAGGTCCACTTGTTCCTCCTGGGACAGTAGCGTTCCACAGTGGGCAGCACCTGTCTCAGCTCATTCCTCCCCCCCACAGCGTACAGGTACTGGCCCAGAGCCCCCAGGACAAAGTGTTCCCTGCACGCCTTCATGGAGGCTATCTCTGTCCAGCGGTTCCCCCGGGGGTCGTACCGACAGGCGGTCCTCACTGCACACGTCCTCCCCGTGGAATGCTCCACCTCGCCGCCCGCCACAAACAGGAAGTGACCCATGACGGCCACGCAGTGGTGGCTGCGCCCGGCGGGCATGGGTGCCAGCTCGCTCCAGTTGGAGCACCCTGCCACCCGCACGTTCTCCTGGGCGGCCGGGTTGAAGTAACGCAGCTCCCGTACGCGGCTCACCTCGCGCTTGCGCCCGCCGGCGATGTAGAGGGTGAGAGACTGGAAGCGGGGCTTGGTGTGGGCGGTCTGGCGGAGGGGTTGGGCGTAGGTGGCACGGTGGTACTCTATAGCCTCGTCCACTAGGGTGGCGGCGGTGGCACTGGACTGGACCAGCGGGTGGCACTGTGCCACGTGGTGCAGGGCGGCCACATCCATAAGGCCGTAACGAACATGCTGTATCAGGTCCTCTGTGTACTGGTACCGACAGTCATGCTCTAACCAGCACACTACCAGCTAGAGACGAGAGGGGAAGAGGAAGACAGAGTGACGCGATTCATTCTTATTAGTATTCTAAATGCCTACAGAGCAGTGTTGCAAGATCAAGACGAGTGTGTTACTGTATACATTAACACACTTATACAAACGCACACACACACACAATAGTGTGTTGTGTGCAAGCATCATGAATATCCACCGGTACATTCCTTTGTTGAGGACCAGGAGAGGAGAGAAGCAGAGAGGGGATTTAATTGAACTTGAGAGCAATCGGAGGCTGTTTAGCTGTGGCAGCAGCGTGTGAATGTGGGTGAGATGGCTGAAGATCACTGATACCATTATCAGGGAAACAAAGTGGCTTTTAACACAATCAGTACAGAGACAGGGAACTTATTATAGCACTGCAAGATTACTGAGCTGGAGCGGTTCACTGTCAGCACCTCCTCCTGACTCGCAGGCACACTGCATACACACTGAAATCCTATTCAAACATTACACTGGCTTGTATATGCATTCAAACCATATTCTGTACAAACAGCACACCAAAACACCATTTACATAGACACAGACATATTCACACATCAATCACACGTGCACTGTATATATTGTCCTGCTACTGTCAATGCCTCTCCTTTTTCTCTTCCTTCTTAAATACATGCCAACGCAACAGTATTTACACCCCCCCTTCCACTCTCTGCTTTGTCCTCTTCTCGGTCTTGCTATCTACACCCCTCTCCTCCTTTCTCTCTCTTTCCCTCGCTCTCCCCCCTCCTCCCACCTCTGAAGTGGCGGAGGGATGTGTGCGCTCCGGTAGGCTGACTGTGAAGGTCACGCTGGATCAGACAACTTCCTTGGGGCAGAGAATAAATCAACTTCCCCTTCCTCCCCTCCTCCCCAAAGAGAAAGGGAGAGGGAGAGAGAGAGAGCAGCCAGAGAAAGGCAAACTGCAAAGAAGGGGGAAAAAAAACAAAGACCCAAGAAAATGTGATTTCCAGAGCGTGAGACTCGGAGAGAAGTCGGTGTGACGATGATTGACAGGCAAACTATATCGGCTGGGTATTGGCTCCCGCACGTTTTTTTTCGGGCGGATGCCCAAATTAACCTTCTCGGCAGAGTGAAGGAGGCCCAAAGCAGCCTAATCAGGGTCTGATTATGGCGGCATCGCCTGGCTAAAGGGTCAGGGTAATTGTGCCATCAGAGGCCTGATTGTTTTCAATCAGTCGGGCGGCCGGAGTGACAGCTGGGGGATTGGGGCCCTGATGAAGCCGCGGTGGGCCTAATCAGAGAGGGTGGGAGAGAGAAGAGGGGGAGAGGGGGGCCTGATTGGTGCAAATGAACAGTCAAAACGCACAGCCCCCCCCCTCCACACCTCACCCATCCCTCATACATATATACACACAGAGACATACGCCTTCCTTTCCTATTCACTCCGATACATAAATATAAATAGTGCATTTTGGTGCAGACAATGGAAATTGATGTTTTATGACACATTGTGTGTTGTAGTATATCAAAGTCTGTGTGGGTCTGGCTGTATGAAGATCTGCATTTTATGGTGTGCATATATACAGTGTGTGTGGTGTGTGTGTGTGCGTGCGTGCATGTGTCTGTATATGCGCATGCATTTGCGAACATGTGTTTGTTGCTTCCATTGTGTGTGTTTGACTGTGAGGAGCCAGTGCAGTGTACCTGCCAGATCTCCTCCTCGTTGAGGGAGGTGAGGTGGTCGCTCTTCAGCACCTCCTTGAGGAGGCGGTAGGGGAGCAGCAGCACCTCCTCCTGGTGGCTCTGCTGCAGCTCACACAGGTGTTCTACCAGGAAGCTGACCACAGCCTCCTCCAGAGCAGGGAGGTGGAACAGATCAGCCACACGGTACAGGTCCAGGTAGTTAACACTGTTCAGCTCCTGTTGTGGACACATTGGCATAGGGTAAAGACTCAAAGGTAAATACATTTACATTTGAGTCATTTAGTAGCTGAGTTTCTCAACTCCGCGACGACTGTGGGCGTACTGAACCTCCGACTACATCGAGTAACTGTCAGTCGATACTTGTAAAAAATATATATTCTTCAACCTATGTTTGTCCTGTGTAAAGGCGTGCCTTTCTTTGCTGAAATACTAGCCTCCATGATACTTTTTAATAAAACTTTATTCAAATACAACCACCGGCTGTTAACCTCGTATTAACTGATGTACATGTCGTGGAGTTGAGAAACCCAGCTTGTCATTTAGCAGATGCTCTTATCCAGAGCAACTTACAATTAGTGCATTCTTCTTAGGATAACTAGGTGAGACAACCACATATCACAGCCATGGGACTGTGATCTTCCCACAATAAAGTAGCAGGACGGGGGTACCGTGGGATTTATTTAAGATACTCTTTGAGGAGGAAGGGTTTCAAAACATTTCAGAAGATGGGCAGGGACTCCGCTGTCCTGACGTTAGGGGGAAGTTTGTTCCACTATTGGGGTGCCAGGACAGAAGAGCTTTGAGCAGGAACTGACCCCCTGTAGGGGTGGGAGGGCCAAGAGACCAGAGGTGGCAGAACGGAGTGCTCGGTTGGGGTGTAGGGTTTGAGTTAATACATACTGTAACACACTGACATACAGTTAAATATCACTCACATGCACGCACACACACACACTCTGGGTCCTACACTTTCTTTCGGGTGTTTTTGAACTGCAGTTTATATATCACTGAATCTAATGAGATGAGACCACATTGTTATTCAAGCAGATCTCAGAGTATGAGAGTATGAGAATGAGTGACTGAGAGAGAGCGAAAGAGAGAGAGAGAGAGAGAGAGAGAACAGGAGAGGAGGCAAGAGAATAGAAAATGGAGATCGAGAGTGGAATAAGTCTGCCATCTGCTGGCAGTAAGCAGAGTGATGTACAATATACTGCATGGCTCTGTAAGTATTCAGCTCAAACACTCACCCACACAAACATTCACACACAAAAATAATCTGTACAATGCCACCTTTCATACAGACAAAACACTTATATAGAAAGCTAGTGAATATATATTTTATGTTAACCTGGGCCTCTTCTCTGCATATTCAGCTGTGATCTAACTGCTATCTAATTGAATAGCAGTTAGATCACAGACAAAGGAGATGACTGTGGACTACAGGAAAAGAAGGACCGAGCACGCCCCCATTCTCATCGATGGGGCTGTAGTGGAGCAGGTTGAGAGCTTCAAGTTCCTTGGTGTCCACATCACCACCAAACTATCATGGTCCAAACACATCAAGCCAGTCGTGAAGAGGGCACGACAATGCCTATTCCCCCTCAGGAGACTGAAAAGATTTGGCATGGGTCCTCAGATCCTCAAAAAGTTCTACAGCTGCACCATCGAGAGCATCCTGAATGGTTGCATCACTGCCTGGTATGGCAACAGTCATAGACTGTTCTCTCTGCTACTGCACGGCAAGCGGTACCGGAGCACCAAGTCTAGGTCCAAAAGGTTTCTTAACAGCTTCTACCTCCAAGCCATAAGACTCCTGAACAGCTAATCAAATGGTTACCCGGACTATTTGCATTGTCCTCCCCACCCCACCCCCACCCCACCCCCTCTTTTACGCTGCTGCTACTCTCCGTTTATTATCTATGCATAGTCACTTTAACTCTATCTACATGTACATATTACCTTGACTAACCGGTGCCCCCGCACATTGACTCTGTACCGGTACCCCCCTGTATATAGCCTCGCTACTGTTATTTTTACTGTTATTTTACTGATTTATTTTTTACTTATCTATTGTTTACTTAACACTTAATTTTCTTAAAACTGCATTGTTGGTTAAGGGCTTGTAAGTAAGCATGTCACTGTAAGGTTTACACCTGTTGTATATGGTGCATGTGACAAATAACATTTTATTTTATTTACAGTGAGCAGGAAGTTTGTCTGTAGGGACAGTGCAGTGAAATCAATGGTGTGCAACAGTGTCCATTTCTCTCTCTACCAGCAGATGGGGTATGAGAGCACTGTTTACCATAACATGATGTAACGGTTTGCCAATTGCCATGCTAATGTATCTCTCTGGTGGTGACAGGTGGGTTTAATGTGTGGTCTTGTGTGGTTCGGAAGAACCTTGAACATATGGAAAGTAGACCCTTGATATACACAATAAATTGCAGTGTGTGCGAGTGTCTGTGTGTGTGAGTGATTGAGTGAGTGACTGAGTGAGTGAGTGTGTGTGTGATACGTGTGTGTGTATTTGACCGTACTGTATATGACTGTATGTGTGAGTATGTAATATATGTGAGTGTGTGTGTGTGTGTGTGTCTATGTCTGTCTTGATTCCTCACCTGGACGAGGTAGTGTGAGCAGAGACTGAGCAGCTCCAGCAGCTGAAGGTGACTTCCTGCCGACAGAACATCCTGAATCACCCCTGGCTCCAGCATTATCTGAGGAGAGGACCTGGGTGAGACCACTTCCTGTCCACCTCACACACTGCTCACCTCCCCAGACAGACAGGCTGCGTCCCAAATGACACCCTATTCCCTATATAGTGCCCATTGGGTTGTTGTCAAAAGTAGTGCACTATGTAGGGAATAGGGTGCCATTTGGGACGCATCCAATGACAGAAGCACTCAGGACCAGTGGTCACTTTATATAATGCTGCTGATTCATGTGTGTGGGTGTGTGACTGTGGTCTCAGGCCAGGCGTGGTCTTGTGTGCAATAGCATTTAAACTAATGTGCTTTCACGCTTCTGTTACTGAAAGCATTTGAGAGGCATTATTAACGCTATCTGTTCTTCAGTAGACTACATGTGTTGGTCCGACTTTATATTCAGTGTCTATAAAACATGAATTTAAAGGGTCATTACATTGCAGTTTGAGTGTTATTATACATTGCTATTCACACACAGTTATTCTTCTTACAACTGTGATACCTGTCACATTTACATGTAATTGCCTTGTAAATACATGGTTTTAGCAACATCAAATAAAAAGTAAGACTAATATTTCTAATGTGTGCGTGCTGTGTCCTCTCAGTGTAGCCTGTATAGCAACATATAGCAACAGCAGGTCTGCTAACCCTATGGCCCCTGACATGTGGCTGGTGTGTATCATCAACTAGCTGTGTGGTTATTTACTGATCGTCTCAGCAGACAGAAATGGACTGGCAGCCGGCTGCTGACCTACATCAACACAACTCCCTCTGCTCATGTCCACTGTGGAAATGCAATTAGGAATAATTATGAGCTAGCCAGCCTCTCACTGCTGGGCCACAGGGCATAGATCTCCTGACTCCTCACCGCAGAGAGGGAGAGAAAGATGGGGGGAAGAGAGATAGGCGAGAGAAAGAAAGAGAGAAGAGAGAGAAAGGGAGGAGAGAGAGAGGGGGGGGGGGGGGTCACTGGCATACTGTAGGGTCAGGCTAGGTTAGATACAGTATCACATCCATGCAAAGGCTATAGCAGGGGTACTCAACCACTATTTGGTCCAGTCACACAAATTTACTAGATGGTAAAGGTCCGGATGGTCATTTATCATCATAGTAACAAACCCCCACATCGCGACTCATGCGTCCTCTGTAGCTCAATTGGTAGAGCATGGCGCTTGTAACGCCAGGGGAGTGGGTTCGATCCCCGGGACCACCCATACGTAAAAATGTATGCACACATGACTGTAAGTCGCTTTGGATAAAAGCGTCTGCTAAATGGCATATTATTATTATATTATTATGCGACCCCAAACTGCTCAAACTGTTCACACCCCTCTTGTTGGCAGAGAGAAAACGTTGCCATTTTAAATCAAATTTCCTGCAATTCTTCACAATTTGTCATGAGGCGGCCAGAAAATTTAGCTGTTTTAAATCACATTTCCTGCAATTCTACATATTTTGCCATGTTTTATGTGAAGAAAAGCAGAAAACTGTCACTCTTAGTTAGTTTAAGCCTGGATATTTGTGAGATATGATTGTGTGTACAGTTCAGTACAGTACAGTACCTGTGTGTGACTTGAGGACATGTGTGGGGTGGCTAGCTGTAGATGAAGGTGCTACTGTAGACTCACCTGTCCTGTGTAGGCAAAGTCTAGTGCATGTTTCAGTCCCACACTGGTAACTCCCTGAAGCGCCACCTCATCCGCCTCACTCTCCACCATGCACAGGCTGAACATGGCCTGAGAACACACACAGAGAGAGTGAGATGGAGAGAGAGAAAGAGAGAGGGAGAGAGAGAGAGGGGAGAGAGAGAGAGACACCTCTGAGACATGGGCACAGCAAACCTGAGCTATAAATAGGCTACAGCACAGCTGAATTATAAAAACAACTGCATATCAAATCAAATCAAATTGTATTTGTCACATGCGCCGTATACAACAGGTGTAGAACTTACAGTGAAATGTTTACTTACAAGCCCTTAACCAACATGCAGTTTTAAGAAAAATAAGTGTTAAAGTATTTACTAAAATAAACTGAAGTAACAAATAAAAAAGAAGAAAAATAAAAAATAAAAAATAATTTTTTATTTGTATTTTTTATTTCACCTTTATTTAACCAGGTAAGCCAGTTGAGAACAAGTTCTCATTTACAACTGCGACCTGGCCAAGATAAAGCAAAGCAGTGCGATAAAAACAAAAACACAGAGTTACATATGGGGTAAAAAAACATAAAGTAAAAAAATACAACAGAAAATATATATACAGTGTGTGCAAATGTAGCAAGTTATGGAAGTAAGGCAATAAATAGGCTATAGTGCAAAATAATTACAATTAGTATTAACACTGGAATGCTAGATGTGCAAGAGATTATGTGCAAATAGAGATACTGGGGTGCAAAATAGCAAAATAAATAACAATATAGGGATGAGGTATTTGGGTGGGCTAATTTCAGATGGGCTGTGTACATGTGCAGTGATTGGTAAGGTGCTCTGACAACTGATGCTTAAAGTTAGTGAGGGAGATAAGA